TTCAATGCGTTAGGCCGAGTTTAGAATCCGTAGGCCGAGTTTGGCGTCAAGAAGCAGTGTTAGACTTTTGAAAATGTCTCAACGATTGGTTTCGCTTTACCAAATCTTACGGTACATACGGAAAGGTAAATAAATTTGGAAGCCATCTGTAATAATAACATTCCGTTTGGTGTTAAAATGCACTAGATTAAGAAATACTAATGATACACTGCCGCTCAGCGCAAATCGGTCCTATTTGCGTTTTAATAAAAACTGGGTATTTATTACATAATAAGTGGTAGCTAATCATAATTCTGGATAAATTCAACAAATTTGTTCTGGAAAAGTTTGAAAAAACAGCCAAACGAGTTGTTCCATTGCATAAGGAGCGAACTTAAAACGCGTTTTTTTTTCGGATTGCTGACTAATGCTATGGGACGGACTTGCCATGAGCGGAAGTTCAGGCTTTGAATAGGTTTGCTCTGTCTGTGTAAAATTTTGAACTGCGGGGAAGTGCTTTGAGCGCGAGGTAAAGTAAACCCCACACGTTTCAATATATTGACGCGAAGGGGAATTATTGACAATAATATTGATGATGTGAATATACCAATATTGTCAATACCGATGTATTGACGTCAATATAGAATGTATTGACAATACGATTATTGTCAATAAAAGCAATCGTGTAGGGTCCACTTAAGATAAACCGATTGCACAAACAAACTCTGAAAGACCGACGACGACAAGGACGGCGAAGCGGACGAGCCACAATATGCAGACACTAAATTCTTGATGTGCATGCGCATTAATTTTCCAAACAGTGTTGTTTAGTGCGCCTTTCCGACAGTCAACAACGGTGACAGCGACCAGAAGTCAGTTTCAACTTGCTTCGGTGAGGTTTTGAAATATTTTATCGAGCACATCGTTCATTTTTCTCCATTCCACAGTATATTATCATCCTACTTCAACTGAAGTGCAACTGAATCTTTTAAATTGCACTGCTCAACATATTTGACTGCATAACTAAACTTCTGTCAGCTTAGTGTTGTAATCAAGCAGAAAAGAATACACCTTTGAATGATCACCGATAGTATCAGCAATGATTTGTGAAATAAATGAACCAAACATTTTATAACAAGATGCTCCGATCTATTAACCGATTCACTTTTTAACTTTCTATTGATGAGAAAAGTTATGGTTAGCCTTTCCCCACCCATGTTTGCTTTTTTGAGATACAATATTTCATTTATGAAAAAAGTGCTAGCACAATAAATGTTCATTAAATTTAATACTAAAAGTTGTCTTTTCAAATCAATTGTTTTTCAATCAATTGGAGAAGATTAATAAATCAAGGACAATTTTTCGAAGGGACTTATTCGCATTTTTTTTTCAATTCGTTCATTAGGAAGGCTCAACCGCGTTAGCTTTATGTAGTCGATATTGAATTGTTTGTAAATTATCAAGAATAACTTAATAACTAGTAGGGATGGACCGATTACTTACTCGAAGTAAAAAATAGTGTCATTGTTGAGGGAAGGATCATGAGAGGAACATGAGGTATCGTTGTCGTATCGCAGAGTGTGCATTGTAGCCAGGATTTGCGTCTGGTGTTTGACCGGCTGTCGATGGTGGGCGACGATAAGAATCATCTAGGCGAGGGAACATGACAAACCCAAACTAATAAAAGAAAAAAAAATACACAGAGAAATTAAATTGTTATATTAAACATGAGACTAGATGAGACTCACCCTAGTGGCTCAACCAAGACTCCCGGATAACTAGCTCAGTAGCATGAGACCCCTGAACTGTGTCACAGGGTCGGCATGCTACTGGGTAATTTGGAGGGGCTACGCGGGACAAAGTGTGCAGAAACTGTGGGATTTCTCTAGTGATGGTGAAATTAATTGAAAGCTAAAGTGTGGGTGGAAAAAGTCTAGAAATTTATTAAAATTATATTATGGTGCAGATGGTTTTATTGGTCTATTGTGGGGTGTGTTCTGCTTCTTTGGTACGTACCGGTGGTGTTTGCTGGACGATGGCGAGCGCTCGCGGGTGGTGATTGTGTTGAGGCCGATGTTGTTTGACCACGATGGTGTTCTGGGCTGGAAGATGGCGCCTGGTGACTGGAGTTGTGGTCACGACAATGGCGGATCGGAGGCTTGTGTTTGAACGTTGCGATGGCTATTCACAACCAGCCTTTTCTGTTGGCAACGGCGTCTCCCTTCGTTGGCAAATATCAGCTGACCTTGACAAGGTCACCTTGGTCGAGCCGAGAAGAGTCTTCCTCCTTAACGATTAGGACTTCCGAGTCCGAGGATGCTCTCCTTTCTGGCAATTACAAGCTGGAGAGTGGAAGGTCCTTGAGTTTTAGACCAAGACAGTCGAGACTGACTTGGTCGAAACGTGCCGAGCGTGAGGATATTCGTGGAACAAATAAAAGAAAGTCCTGAAGGACAAATGGTTGTTTAAAACCAAGCCAAAATCAAATTTGGTCAAACTAAGGTACCTGAACGAAAACAGAAGGAGGTTGTTCACTGAACTTTGAGGCACTTTGTTCGGTTCACTCACGTCTTGTACGCACGAACATCGGTATACTTCTGGGCAATGGTTGACCATCCCAGCTATCAAAAGCCTTTCTTTTCCCATCCAGTTTTCAATTCGTTCTTTATTTCCTCCATTTTCCTTCCTTGTAGGCTACAAGTTGTAGCTTATCACCACCCATCCATATCATCTCCTTCGTTTTTCAGTTTTTCTACCACAGTTGATCACAACACCCTTTCGATCCTGCCTCGCCCAATTAAGTTTATAAAAATATCAATTTCAATCTAATCCTACTAACACAAATTTATACATTTTTAAATTTACAGCGATTTTACCAACAATCCTACAAATCCTACTAACCCAACACTGACACTAAACAAACACCACAGTTTTCTAAAACAAGCGCATGCACAAATTAAAACCTAGGACATTGTAACTAAGCGGTTATAGACAGTAGAAGAAACACATAAATTGACTGAATAGCAGAGATCACGAGCTCCCAACACGTTTCTTATAGGAGCACATTGGGTTGTCTTCCTTGAGCCTCAAGGGTATTCAAAAGGCGCATGATCGATGTCATCGTAACCGTTTCCACAGCGACATATATTGCTGTCAATGCTATCCATGAGGTTTATTTTGTGTAGGTGTGCATCCAACGAGTAGTGGTTGGACATAAGTCTACTCACTACACAAATTAAATCACAACTTACGCCCAAGCCTTTAAGCTAGAGGTGGGCAAAACAGCTCATCTGGCAGCGCGAATCTGAACGATCAGCTCATTATGGGGTGCTGATTCTATTGAACAGCTCTTCAGCTTACATTGAAATCATAGAAATTTTGACACAAATTCAAAATCAAAAATCAAAAATCAGAAAAGAATGAGTGTGACCACTACATACAAACCGTAAAAGTAGTCTAAACCATTAATTCAGTCCGTGGCTCTATGCAAGTATGCAAAAGAACTATGCTGAGAATATGCGAGAGAGCTAACACCTATACACATAAAAACATTGCGAGCTTCACTGCTGATGTAAATATGCATGCATGCAAACATTCATGCATGTAAACTTCATTTGCACGTAAACTTTTAACTTGCAAGAAATGTTGTTTACAAAGATGGATGGTTACATACAATATTTGGATTATTCCTTGAAATGTCTCATAACTTTACACGATCTAAAATGTAAACTCGTATGATATACACAGTTCGAAAAAGTAGTGTAAATTTCTGTTCAATATGATGCACATAAATGGAGCGTCACATATCATATACGTTTACATTATATATAATGTAAAGTTCTGACACATTTCATGCAATGTAGCAAATATTGTATACAAAATTATACTCCACAGACACTTCTAATGTACACACTCGCCTGAGATAAAGTGAACGATGGCCGTTCCTTAAGAATCGCAGAACCCTTCAGCTCATCCCCCGAGACTAAGCGTCATCAGGACCCTAGCCGATTGCTTTTATTGACAATAACCGTATTATCAATATATTCTATATTGACGTCAATAAATGAAAATATTTCTGTATTGACATCATCAACATTATTGTCAAAAATTCGCCATTGCGTCAATATATTGAAAAAACATTGTCAATACCCAAAACCGGGGAGGAAGGAACAGATTCGAAAATGCGTGTGTGTGTGTGTGTGTGTGTGTGTGTGTGTGTGTGTGTGTGTGCGTGTGTGTGTGTGTGTGTGTGTTTTTTTTTGTTATGATAAGGAAAGCTTCAAAATCCCGGCCTGTCACTGTGTTGTGTCTTTGTTCTCCTTCTGGCAAGTGTGGGACTCTTAACCACTAAAACCTTACTCGCCTCTAGCCACTATCCCCCGGAACTCCCCTAGAGTATTTCGTCGGGGGGGGGGGGGGGGGGAGCCTGTTCTGAAGCACTTCTCTTTAGCTCAGCTAGCCGGCGTTGCTAACTCGCTGATCATCTCTCCATTTTCGCTACAGCTGTGACAAAATTTGCGTCACTGCCCTGCTAACGACACTCCACGTCCTCTCATCCCGGCACATTTCACTGACGACATTTCTCGTGCTAAGGGCCGGCATCTCCACTCGCACTGCCTCAAATCTTGGGCAGTCGAAAACCACGTGCTCTGGCGTTTCGTCCACGTTGCCACACTCTGGACAGAGGGGTGACGTTGTGTGTCCAATGCGATGCAGGTATTTCCTAAAGCAGCCTGACCAGATAGGAACTGTGTCAAGTGGAAGTTGACTTCTCCATGCTTCCTGTTCACCCAGGTCGAAAGAATCGGTATTAGCCTGTGTGTCCATCTACCGTTCTCCGCTGCGTCCCACCTCCTGTTGCCACTTAGCCATCGACTCCGTTCTCACAATTTTTCGTACTCTTCTTGTATCTCTTCGCATATAGCATTCGGTGTCCTCCGCCAAGGTGATGACGATGGGTATCATACCGGCAATAACGCATACTGCTTCCATCGAAATTGTTCTGTACGCACTCACGACTCTCATGGCCACGTACTGTTCAATTTTCTCTGGTTCTTCTTCGTTTTCAGCGCTGCATCCCAGGCTGGACCTCCATACCTCAGAATCGACGACGATACACTAGCCAGAAGACGCCTCTTGCTGCTGCTTGGTCCAGAGTTGTTGGGCATGATTCTAACTATCGCATTGATGGCCTTCGCCGCCTTCTCACGTGCGTAGTTGACGTGGCTATTGAAGCTTATCCGGTCATCGAGTATCACTCCAAGATACTTCAGCACGCGCTTTGATGCTATGGCGTTCTCCCCGACGGTAATTTCTGCTCGCTGAACAGCTTTACAGTTACTGACCAATAGCACTTCCGTTTTGTGGGGGGCTATCTGCAGCTTCGCTCCTTGCATCCAGTTGGAAACCGTGTCGATCGCCTCGGTTGCCAGCATTTCCACCTCTTCCAACGTCTCGCCTACTACCGCCAACACGATGTCGACCGCAAATCCTACGATCTCGACTCCTTTGGGCAGCTTCAGCGTTAGCACGCCGTTGTACATCGCGTTCCAAAGCGTTGGGCCAAGGATAGAGCCTTGTGGCACACCCGCCATGATCCGGATTGATTTCTCTCCCATGTCCGTCTCGTAAACTAGAACCCGGTTCTGGAAGTAACTCCTTATAATGCTACACAGGTTATCAAGAACCCTCATTCCATGCAGTGCTTCGGCGATTGCCAGCTGTGTGTGTGTGTGTGTCATCCTCTATCCCTCACCCAGCCGGGGGCGTTTGACAAGTAGAACTGCGAATAATTTGATCACATTTCATGCTCCGTAATGGCTCCGCCCTTTATGTTGAGGCAAGACAGGGTGTCCTCAACAAGTTAAGGGAACAGGATGTACTAGATGTCCACAACAGGTACAGCAAAACATCACATAGACGATTCATTCATTTAATATACTCAAATCAATATTGAGAGATACCATTAACCAAGGTTTTGTCAAATTATTTAGCTGCATAATAAAATACAAAACATAAAAGTACATTTTCTTACTGCACACTGGACAATCACTACACTCTCAAAGCAAAACAGGCTATTTTGCTACGCCTATTTGTGTGCTATCTGCTTCTCCTTCCCAGCTCAAAAGTGCTGTCAATATTATTGATGGTGTATGTTGGAAACGAAGTGAAATCAAGCTGAACATTGCGTTAGGTCCTAAGTAACGTTGACAGGTTCTCTTCGTCGACTTTCTCTTTGTATCCCTACGACCATGTAAATACATTCCCAGGTATTTTTAGCACTCAGATCGATAAAAGAAGCTTTTATCTAGCGTATAATACGACAAATACAACAAGACACGGTTATGTGCTCAAGTTATTAACGTCTGTCTGCTGCTGCGGCCCAGCCTATTCCAGGATCCTCCACCGCCCCTGGTTTATCATGCACTGGTGCTGTCTCAGGTGAGCCTGTCGACGATTCTCCGTTGACCTCGGAGGAACTTGCCGAGGTCATCATCATCATGCACACCTGCAAGATCTGATCTGAACAGCTACATGCTGCCCTGTCCCTTGTCACTTAGTATGGTCCGTGAAGCCATCAAGATCTTAAATTTGAATGCTTGCTCCTTGAAGAGCAAAAACATCGAGTTTGTTGACTTTCTCAACGAACGGCTCATCGACATCTCCAAGACTCACTTGAAGCCCTAGCTGAACGTCTTCCTTCCCGACTTTCGGCTCGTAAGGATTGACCGCACCAGCTTCGGAGAAGCGGGAGTGGCCATCGCTGCGAGACGAAACATCAGCTGCTGGCTACTACCAACATTCCAGCTGAAAACTATTGAAGCCATCGGAGTTGAGGTGAGCACATCGCTTGGTCCAATCACCATCATCGCGCAAACCAACATTAGGGACGGGTCGGCCGCAGACCTCCGAAGAGAAATCATCAAGCTAACACGACGGCGGCAAAATTTCATCATCGCTGGCGATCTGAACACCAAGCATCATGCCTTAGGCAATAGTCGGCGAAACCAGAATGGCCCAATCTTGTACAACGATCTGCAGGAAGCCTACTATAACATCCTGTGTCTGGACACTCCCACCCAGTTGAGTCGATGCGGAGCTCATGCCACCATCGACATCTTCATCAGCAACATTGGCGATAACATCTCTCAACCTATCGCTCGGGTGGTGGCCGAAATAGGTTCCTCGGCCAATAGGTTTCAAGTTTCCCGGCGAAATTACCATCGTGTCAACTGGCAGCAGTACCAGCTGTGTGCGGACACAGCAATCGACTACGACGTCCTACCGGAGTCGTTCGAAGAGGTCGATAGATATTCCGTACACAGCAAAAAAATATTTTTTACATTACATCCAAGAGGATGCACTTCAATCATGTCGAAAATCTCATGTAATTTTTAAGGTCACAAAAATAAACAAATGCAGTAAAAGCAGCGTAATGTCAGTTCATGCACTATAATAACGATAATTTTGTCCTTTTTGGCAAGTAATATTACACCATATTTTTCACACGGGGTCTGTGACAGGTTGGAAGGCCGCAGAATATCAGTGTCCACCCAGCTCCACCCCTTTTTAATTTTTCTCGTTTAACTCCTTCTCTAAACAAGTTGGCAAATCGTAGCCTTTAGCAGAAAGACGCTAAACATTTTTTTCAACGAATGTATGATCCTTTTCATGTCATGACTATGCCTGTTCACATAAATTAGTACTTTTATATATTTTATCTACTGTGCTATATCAAACGAGTATAAATAAGAAGGGATGTCAGTTACACTTGAATAATTGAAAATCCGATGAATATTTCATCGAATAGCAAGAAAAATATTTACGATTAATCATTAATCGAATAATTGGACATTTAGTATATCTTTTTCTTCGATTTCTCCTTTTAGTTCTACTACTTTTGTATCACTTTCACTTTCACTAATTCACTTTCACTCTTTACTTACACTATCACGTTGAACTATAACAGATACGTTTTTCGTTTACCACTTGCAAACTTCTTCAGTGTCTAGTTATAGACTTAAAGAAAAAGCATTGCTTCTATTCCTTATAAAGTGTATAGGTAGTGTCTTATGTTTTCTGGTATGGTGTTTGTTGTTAGGGATTTTATGTAGGTAGCCAGTAGAACATAGTACGGGTAAGCTTGTTTTGTTTATTGAGAAACGTAATTTGTCGTTTGGGCTGGTTGTCTCCGTGTTTTAGGTAATAGTCTATCGATTTAATCGGTATCGGTAACAGGTATCGATTTCCTTGGTCCTTATTCTTATTCTTATTTAGACCTAAGAAATAGGTACAAGGCCTAAGAAATATCACAAAAAATAATTTCTAGTCAATTAATTACCATAGAACGGATTGGGTGCATTATCGAACATTTATGGAATATAACTTTTATCCAAATATTCCTTTGCAAACCAAAGATAATGTTACTTATTTTCTTGAATCTCTGAATACTTTTATAGATGAAGCAAGAGCTGCCTCAGAACCAAAATGCGAGGTTAAATTCGATTCAATTTTAATAAAGGATGTTCTTCAGCTCTTGATCCTTCTGAAAAATGTCTGTAGGAGGCAATATCAAGGAACACGCGTTCCTGCCATGAAAAATAACAGGTGGGATGTGCGATTCTCTGCCTTGAGGATCCAAATTTTTGAAAATAATGTTTTGAAATTAGACCCGAGTTCCAAACCCTTTTGGAAGCTCACAACAATTCTGAAAAAAAAACTCAAAAGCCTATTCCAGCGCTTTAAGAAGGTGGTCAAATTTTGATCACAAATTCGGAAAAAGGTCAGAAACTTGATAAGCAATTCGAGAATTCCCATAATTTCAGTTTGAGTCTTACTAGTCCTATTGAGAATCAGGTTGCTCGGGATTATCTGAATATTTTCTCTCAGGAAAATATTTTTGAAGATTCCTGGGGGACTGATTTGGGCGAATTAAGATTTATAGCTAAAAAAATTCAAAATATGAAAGCTCCTATCAAAAAACTCCCAGAGAGTACCTTGTCTTTCTTGATAAAAATATTTAACAGATGTTTCCATTTGGCATACTTTCCTGATAAATGGACAAATGCAAAGTTATTCGAATTTTGAAGCCGGATAAAAATCCAGCTGAAGCTTCTAGCTTCCGTCCAATAAGTTTGCTTTCTTCAGTAAGTTTGCTTTTTGAATAGACAATTTTAAATTGTATGATGTTTCACATCAATACAAGCTAAATTTTTGCAGATGAGCAGTTTTGATTCCACCATAGGCATTCAACTACTCATCAACTCTTAAGAGTTTCCAATTTAATTAGTTCAAGCAAATCTCAAGGCTGCTCATCTGGAGTTGCTCTTCTAGACATAGAAAAAGCATTTGACTGTGTTTGTCATCAAGGGTCTATATTATGAAATTAGCTCAAAATTATTTAACTGACAGAAATTTGCAGGTAAATTATCAAAATTCCAAATCTGAACGACTACCTGTTAGAGCAGGAGTTTGTCAGGGTAGCATTCTTGGGCCTATATATTTTTTTTCCTTTGGTTTGTTTTTTCCGTCGATCTTGTTTTCCGTGCTGAGCACCAATGCTACCGACGTGCCAGGAAGGCAGCTCCCACACCTGGACCCTACCCATCGACCCATCAACTCATGAACCGGGGACCAACGGCTTTACTTCCCTTCCGAAGGAAGGCGTGATCAGAGATGTTATGCCTCAGAACATCCCGGCGGCGCCGACTGGGATTGAACCCAGGCCTGCTGGGGTGAGAGGTTATCACGCTTACCACTACACCACCGGCGCCGTTGACCTTTGGGCCTATATTATATAACATTTCATTTCGGACCGCCCTGATTTGTCTCAGGGTTGCCATAAATCTTTGTTCGCTGATGACACAGGCATTTCCGCTAAAGGAAGAAGTCTTCGTGTTATTTGCAGCAGACTGCAGAAAAGTGTAGATATTTTCTCTTCTTATTTACAAAAACGGAAGATTCCTCCCAGCGCTTCCAAAACTCATCTTGTAATATTTCTACATAAGCCTAGAGCTTACTTTTTGAAACTACTAGGTCACATAGTCACTATAAACGGAGTTCTAATTTCCTGGTCAAACCAAGTGAAATATCTTGGATTAGTACTAGACCAAAAATTAACTTTTAAAGATCACATTGAAGGCATTCAAGCCAAATGTACACAGTTAATTTTTTTTTCGCCGAGATTCCAACAGTCGAGTAGTTCTGCAATGTATTTAGCTGAGATTCAGTAAAACAATTGCCGAGGCTCAGCTAACAAATAACATTTTGCAACAGCTTACAAACAGATATTTTGCAAATATATAAAAAAAATTGTAACTTCATATAAACAGGAAATCCAAACTTTGCCTGAAGAATAAACTTCGAATAAACCGAGGTACATACATAGAATTTTGAATGTTGACATTTTAGAACAAATGTCCAACAAAATTACTACTAGTTTCAGGCAAAAATCGTTGCAATCCTCTATAGCAACGATGAATTCCCATTATTTAGTTTTAGTTTTCAGAGGATCCAGCTGTCAATTGTTATACTGACATGCAGG